ATACCACCTACCCCACATATGCTTAGCTTCCCCTAGTATCAATGTCCCCCACCAGGGTGGTACATTTGTTACAACTGATGAACTTACACGGATGCGCCATTATCACACAGAATCCATAGTTTATATTAGGGTTGACTCTTGGTGTACATTCTATGGGTTTGGACAAATGGACAATGACACGTATTAACTATTATAATACAGAGTAGTTTCATTGCACTAAAAGTCTTCTGTGCTCCACTGATTTCTTTCTTTTTCCCATCTAATCCCTGGCAATCACTGATATGATTGACTGATTGTACACATTAAAGCTATATACTTCTGTCTTCTGACAAAATAGTATTGAAGTATTTCATAATATATACAAATTGATAGTTACAAACAAAAGAAAATGAATTATTTTTTCCTTTTGTAAACAATGTGGCTTCAATAGAAGAATATGCATTTTGTCAATCTTGCTGGGTTTTGATAGCTTACGTATTTCAAGTTATAAAATAATATGAAATTTTAAAGTTATTTGAAGTTAATGAAAGTATTAATGCTCACATTCACTCATGGATCTCCTTCTTTGTTTTTATCTGCTTTCGCCTTCAACTTTAGACGGAGAACACAGAAAGTGGGGAAGAATGGAGAGGCTTCATTCTTACAGTAACAGAGGTAAGAAGGTCATTACTTTTGAGTGATTCATTTTTTCAACAAATATTTGCTGAACACCTACTATGAACCATGCAGAGTGAAAGTGGCTGAAGCAATTAAAAAAGAGATCTACACCCTTGCAGTTACTCATGAAAGTTATATCAGGTGGTGGAGATGGAGAAATAAAGTAAACAAGAAAACAAACAAGATCGTTTTACATCGTGATAATTGTTATGAAGAAAATTAAACAAAGCAATGTATTAGGGAGTGGCAAGCGCTCAGGGAGATCTACTTTTTGGTCTTACTCTTCTGACACAGTGGTCCTTTATATATTCTAATATTTGCAGCTTATGTTGCATCTTCTAAAATGCTTTCCGATGCCTTTTCTATCCATTTAATACGTACTTATAAAAATGCTGAGATGAGGCCGGGCGCGGTGGCTCACGCCTGTAATCCTAGCACTCTGGGAGGCCGAGGCGGGTGGATCGCTCAAGGTCAGGAGTTCGA